ACACATCGACAGACGCGCAGACATCTGCATACACACTGGTGTATGTATGTATGTATGTATGTATGAATGCATGTACGTATGCGTGTATGCCAATTGCCTACAGAGATGCACCTGCACTGATTCTTTTTTTGTGTTCGTTTTTGTGACTTGCGCTTCGCCATTCCGAGTCGAGGCTCCGGCTCTTGCAGGAGGCCAAGCAACGCGGCCTCGGGCCTGGGCCTGAAACCTGGGGGCCTTTGGGTCTCAGGGCTAAGTAAGGGCCCTTAAGGGTTTTTTGGCTGCATCCAGATTCAGGTGCAACAGCCGGAGAGAGTGCTTACATAGCAACTTCCAACCCCCCCCCCCCCCCCCGCATAGTTTCGTTGTTGCCATTTCATTTTGATGAGGACTGCTTCCTTCCTGCGGGAGTAGCACAGGGCCGGGATTTCGGCAACACTTTTCGATGCAAGCTTCGAGGGGGGGAGCGTTTGAGAGTTTAGGGTTTAGGGGCTCCAGCCCGATTGCACAAGCCCTGATGCAAGACAAGCGAATGTGCGACTGGCCTAGTATTTTTGCCTTAGTCAGCCAATGTTGAATCAAAATCTATCTGGAACACCGGTCGAACCACTTCAGACATGAGAAGCAAGGTGTCGGCGAGGGCTATTTATTTTCAGAAGGACTTGAGCTCGAGATTCTCGTGTTGAGGTTTATAACACACGGCCTGCGCGAATTTTCTCAGTCAGGATGTCTTATACCTGCGACGCCAACGCCATACTGCAGAGCGCCTCGCAGCAATGCTTCACATATGTCACTGCATACCGTCGAATACATCCAGCGAGTAGTTATACGCTTCAGGAGGTTATCTTCCGGCACTCCGGCACAGTACGACAAGCTCTTCATATGGTTCTATCCGTAGGATGTTCAGGGACCTACGGATTCCTAAGTCAGACCATATCAAAACTGTGCACTGCAAACCCCACCGGCCAACGCGAGACAAGAACAAACCAACTGTGAATCATTGTGCGGTTCACCACGCGCCAGCAGTTTGCTTCATCAAAGCATCCGTCATGGCGCCGCTGGACGAGGACGAGGAGGATGCTTCCGATGCTAGCGCCCAGGCAGACGACGAGGGCTCTGAGACTGGCCACTTGGCGTCTGTTTGCAGCAGCTTGCCGCCAAACATGCCACCTAGCAAGTTGTAGCCATTTCATAAAAGCCAACAAGCGTGAACCATAAGCAGGATGCAGTGAAATCAGGGAGAACGGAAGCAATCTTGAAAGGCAGACAATGGATAAGAGGACAGCTGAGCTGGTTCGTGCAGATTGAATAACCGGAAGTGGCCAGTACCATTCACTGAAAAGAATGCGTCAACAGGTGCGCCGCCCAGCTACCTGCAGCACGAGCGGGCCATGCTTCAGCGTGGTCTCCTTGCCAGCCATCAGACTGGCTGGACGCCATGCCTGCCAATTTTTTTTTGGTTCTTCGGGCTGGGCCTCCCATGTATTGGTGCTTTTCAAGACTCAGACCTGCCAGTAGTCTGGGCGGGGACGGTTATACCATGCATCCGCGAGCCCTATGTAAAGCCTCCACGCCCTGAGCCCTACACTCTCTGTATACCTTATCATTTGCCCTGTAAACCCTAAACCCCATAGCCTCGAAGCCCTCTTTAACATCTCTCTAACCCTACAAGCTCAAAACGCCCCCACATCCTATAAATCCTATAAGCACTGAACCCTACACCTCGCCTAGCGCCTTGAATTTCCGACTTGCGAGCACCGAAACCTTAAACCGTGGACCAAGGTCTGAACACCCTAAACCCTAAACCAGGTGAGGCTGGCTAGTCCGAGTTGTGAGAGCGTAAGCCGGGTCAGGAGCAGTTCATTCGACTTGGAGGCTCTTTGCGATCGCCTCCACGGCCTGTCCGACACTGGACTGCACTAGGGACTTGGGGAGGGTTGTATATAGGGCATTACAACTTTGAAGGCTTGGGATGTTAGAGTTGAGGTTTTCAGCGTTTTAGGGTTAGTGTTTTTTTTGCTCTGATTTCCTGTGGTACGTGTGCCGCGAGTCCGTTGCATGTGCATAATTATAAACAGAAGTACATGCACATCCATGCACACAACCCAGATGCATAGGTATGCCTCCATACATGTATGGACCTGAGCCCAACTGCAGCTGCAGAGAGGTCCGCTGGGTCTTCCGCTAGGAAGACAAACCATTTCGACTAGCATCGGGTCGGGTGTGGGCCCGAAAGCCTAAAGCATGAATGCAAAAGAGTGGGAACTGTGCCAATGACTGGCCCGGCTGTAGGCAAGAATGATATACCTGGCCATCCGCAGATGATGACTTCATTCTGTCGTAGCGCATAGCTGCCGTTCAGCCATTGCCGGAACAGGAGGCGGTTGCCGCGACTAGGAAGCAAGAATCCTGTCGTCGAACCAAATTCCTAAACTCAATTCCCGATGTAGGATGGACGTACGTGTCAGTCTGGTACTTGTGGTACCAGCACGCTACAACATACACTGCAAAGCGCAGCACGTCCCCACAGCCTTTTCGACAACTGGCCGGCGGAAGGCAAAATCCGGAATCCCTAAACACTGGGCATAGTCCTACCCAGGCTACGTCCGAAAATAGCCTCAGCCCGTCCGCCAAGCTGCGCGAGCCTGCATGAACCCTAACGATCCTGTCAGGTCGAGGAGGCAGAGAAAGATGCTCGCGAAGCCCTCCGAGAGGCCAAGGACGAAGCTCGGGATGGCGACGTGCTCGCCATCCTCCTGCAGGTGACTCGTAGGAATGGAATATACTTTTGATTTTGTGATCTTCAGGCAGGGTTCCGGGTTGCAGGAGGGGGCACCGATGCATCGGTTTTAGGACTTCAGGCTTGATAGGTGGCCGGGAGCACGCGGCATATCCCGTGGACATGACTCCATAGCCCCAAGCAGATGCAGCAGTTGTCAGTGCCAGTTGTGTGTCATCTGTATGCGGGTTAGCACCGTTGAGCCCTATAGTCGGAACATTTTATGCCAGGTTTTCCAGTCCGCCCGCAGCAGCGTCCTGGACTCGGAGGAGGATCCCACCGACTACACTTGGACTGAGGCTCGGGCTTCGATGTGTTCCTGGTGTCAGTCTAGGCGACAGGCACGCAAGACTCGACAGCTTGACGTGTAGGACCCGGAACAGGTTCCGCAGCGATAGACGATGGTGATATTGAAGTGGTGAGTTCAGAGTTCAATTATACTTCAATTTGCAACAGAAGGCTATACAGCCATTATTAGCCCCGAGAGCCACCAACAGCCCGCTGTGCCATGCGCCCTAGATAGCAACATATGAGAGCAGCAGAAGGCTCAATGAAGTCGTTCATCATCACCAGAAGGTTCCTGAAATTGACGCGGGTGCCAAGTTTTGATGGACGAAGGTGCTCGGCTACTGCAGCCGCCTGTGCGCCTTGTGCGATCGGAACTTCCTGAGCAGCTGGGGCTGCAAGAATGGGTTTAGGGATAAGGACTGCTGACGCTTGTGAGGTGAGGATGTTAAGCCCATTGGAGTGGATTTTGTAATCGTCGAGCGCGGATGTGTCTGATTAGATGTGCTGCTGATATGATACCAAACAAACGTCTCGTAGATCATCTCTCTTGGAACCGGCTGATTTTGAGTTCTCCACTGTGTCGAAGGTTGCCCATCCGAGACTTTTCATGTCCGCAGTCAGCTTTGAGGACATGCAGTATTTTGTTGACACCTTGGTTGTGTTGTTACAATTGGCGCGCTGGTATGTTTCGAAACTGTCGTCCCCGGCAGCTGCAAAGTCTGAACCAACCCCGCACCCCTGCGCAATGCCTGGAGTCACAAATCCAAACCAATCATTTTACTCCTAAGACTGGGGACCCTTGTTTCATTGAAGGTTAGTTTGGAGTGCCGGCAGTGCCCGGAAGAAGTGCTTTGTATTTACAAGACGCAAAACTACAGTTTATTGCGGCTCGTTCGGGGTACCGGCAGCGGGTTGCTTAAATTAGGGCTGAGGGCTGGGAACCTAAAACCTACGTGTATACTCTGAATCGAAGCGATCTCTCTCTGTGTCTCCGTCTTGTGCGCTCAAGTTTGGAGAACGGCTCCTGCAACAGTCTAGAGTCTGGACCCAGGGCATTAATCAGTATGGTGATGAAACTTTCATTTCGGGGAGGGGAGGCCTTCAATCTTAGTTGCGAGAGATTGGGATCCGTTTGAAAGTTTGGGTCCAAATAATATTGCACAGTCAGTTGAAGGAACCCCAGTCTCAGTTGCCTAGTTGGTTTCCAGAAATTTCCCTTACATCGACACGAGGCCTAGCTGGGCAACCTGGCCCGGACGACTTTCCTCTGCGTGTGGTGGCCAGTGTCTATGCCGAGTGCGGGCGGAGCCTTAGCACTTGTCAAATTGCGCTTAGAGCCGTCGCTTGACCGTCGGGAGGATAGTGAGGATGAGGAACTGCTGAGGCTTGCTTGTTTCTGCACATGTATAGTCCAATCTAGATACCTGAATGGTATGTGGCATTCTCGATGTTGTGGATTATCGCATGGGGGTGCGCAGCAACTCATAAGCAGAACAGTGCAGACCAGCACGGCACGCCGAAGTCTAATTATAATCTATAGTTGGAGTGGGTATGAATGCAGTCATGCATTTCTTCATGCAGTTCTTATCAGAAGATTTGTGTGGCCGGGTTGCGAGCGGAAAGGTGAGGACACAGGTCCTCGTCCTCGTTCCTTTGCATCTTATCGCAGCTGTCGCGTATGAACCTCGTGTGCTCGTTGTTACTTGCATTCGCTGGCAGTTTGTGCTGCTTGTTGTAGTATGCCAGGATGTGCCATTTCTGTTCTGCTTAAATCTACTCTAGCGTACTGCGCCACTGTTAGAGCTTTTATATTGGATTGTCTGGTAAGTCGGAAACCTGTCAAAGCCCCGAGTCCCAGACGACTCTGCTTTGTGAAGTCCCTCCTCCCACCGAATTCAAATTTAAGGCCGACGCTCCTTTTAACTCTCATGAAACGTCTTGGGGGATACAACAAAAAGGCAAGGGCTTTGGAAGCCCCAAGGCCCTAGAAATCAACTTTTGCCAACACGCCGAGACTTCAACCCGGCCCACCCAATGCAAGAATCGAGCAAGTCTGCAGCAGAGTTGGCTGACAATGATTCTGCACTCAAGAAAAGGCGTGCGACTATGCTTGTAAAAGGCAAGCCCAAACCCACGCACGTGGGCACAGTAGCTCCTTCAAGAACGAGATGCTGCCCGTCGCAGACACACAGACGTCCCGTAGGCCCGACATCTGGCGAGAATGGCCGAGAGATAGCAGTCGGACATATGTCCACTGGACCAAGGAAGAAACACGCATATGCCTAAGTCTGGTCAACCTTCGAGTGTGAATGCCGCAAAGGCCGTGAGGTTCTTGGCCAAGCCAAACAGTCAACATACCCGGAACATACACCTAAAAGGGATGCGTTCTGAATCCTTACAACCCCGATGTCAGTCCTAAACCTTGAAAATTACCTGCAAAGCCTAAGCACAAAGGCCGCCTAAGAGCCCTGCAACCTGAACTCCCAGGACATTGTCTGTGGCGGGTCGCCCTGCGGAAGCACGGAATCGGCTTGAGACTCCTGGGCTTTGGCGGTTCTACGGAGCATTCCCCTTCCGGGCTGAGGGTTTCGGGTTGGGGGTTGAGGAGTTGAGGTTGCCCTCTGTATAGCACCAGCTATGCGTGCATCGGGAAAGCTACAGCGAGATAGAGAGATAGATTGATTGATGCATGTATATGCATGTGTCGGCCAACGCTCACAGATGTACACACACACACACCCGCGCACCCTCGCGCACAGAAGCAACCACACCTGCAGAGACACATGCACACATCCAAACGTGCACGCTTGCCTGCCTGCCTGCCTGCCTACCTACCTACCTACCTCCCTCCCTATGTACCGACGCACTGTCTGTCTGACTGACTGACTGACAGGCAGGCAAGCAGGCAGGCAGACGGACAGACAGACAGACAGGCGGACTGGCAGTCATACATACACGCTTGGCAAACGCATCGCCCGTGCCCGCTTAAGCGTAATGTTTGTGTGCATCTATGCCCATACGTGTGCGGATGTATTGCAGGTGTTTCTTTCTTTGTCAGTATGCATGTGCCCACATGCAGGGCCTCGGGACGCGAGCGGCTTGTGGCGCAACTCTCGCGCTCTGAGCAACCCAGGAAGGCGCTGAATGTCTTCCGGCTGATCTCGGAGCCGACGGAAGAGGCTTGAAGGGCCTCCGTGGGTTCGAGCAGCTCATAGCCCTAAGTAAAACCCATACAGCTGGGGCGGTTCCTTGTTCCAAGTGTGACTCTGCACTAGGAGATCAAAACCCTCAAAGTTAACAGCCATAAGCTCTCGAAAGCATGTCAACCAAGATCCAGCCGTCCTGCACGCCTGATCCCCCCCCAAACCTGAAGATGCACGACACCGCCCGTAAAAAGCTTAAAGATCACACCCAGGAAGAACGGGAGTTCAACTCCCCTACAGTTCTAGGGTAGAGGATTTAGTGTAAAGCTAGGAACCTTGCAGAATCCTCATACCCCGCTGTTATGTACCGTCATTACTATTGTCATCATGCTTAATACTGTTATTGCTATTGCTGTTGATGGCATCATTGCTGTTAGTTTTCCTAAGCATCTGTCGGAGGAAGCCTGGCTCCTTGCTGGCTGCCGGGCCTCCCTGGCCAGGGCTTTAAGACAGCGCCTGAGACCGCTTAGTCTAAAGGGGGTTTAGGGGTTTGATTAGGGTTTATAGGGTTTAGGAGTTTAGGGGTTTGATTAGGGTTCCGGGTGCTGGACAAGGAGGCCGCTTGCAAAAAAAAGAGTTTGTTTAGGAGTTTGGGGCCTCGAGGTTCCTGGCATATGCATAGCCGAGGTGTAAAACGATTTATGGGCAGCTTAAGGGTTTGGTTTTGAGGGATCAGAGTGCGGACTTGATGACTTCAAAAGCGATCAGAGTGCTACTGATCTTGCAGGAGAGTAGTCTGAGAGCAGTTGTCGTGAAGCCTGCCCGGCCAGTCAAAAGCCCCACACACTACATAAATTGAAAAACTCAGCTAGGCCCTAAACCCTGAACCATGAACCTCGCCTGGCTTGTCCGAGTTGTGATAGCGTAAAGCCAAACAACCTAAAGCCATTTCACCTCGTCCGACTACGCTCCGAGCTGTCCGAGCGTGAGCGCCGAAGCGCTAAGGCCAAACACCCTAGACTCCTAGACTCCTAGACCTTATAAGGCCATGTACCGATATACCCCCAAAGCTCTCAGCCCAGGTTGGGGCAACCGAAAAGCGCCCAGGATGAGTTCCTGCAGGCTTTGCAGCTCATGGCTGACCTCCCGGAGCCGAGAACGGGGTTCGGGCTCGGGTGCCTGTCTGTGGCAGGGGGCCCTGTGTCTGTCTGTCTCTGTCTGTCTCTGTCTCTGTCTGTGTCTGTGTCTCTGTCTGTGTGTGGAGGAGAGTAGTCTTAGTCGCTATCGTTCTTGATTTTGCAGCAGCAAGTGCTGTTGTAGTTGCAGGTGCGGTTCAACTGGAGTTGCAGCTGCAGTTGTCGTTGTGGTAGTTGTGTGGTAAAGGCGGCGGCGGTGGTGGTGGTGGTGGTGGTGCAGGAAGATGGGCAAGAGGCGGAGGTGGAATAGCAGCAGCTGTAGTAGCCATCGTTATGGCAGTAGTAAATGCTATTGTAGTTGTAGTTGAAGCAGTTGTGCGGTAAAGCTGGTGGTAGTAGCAGCAGTCGGGCAGTCGTTTTTGTCTACAGCATTTAGAGGAAGGGAAGGAGGAGGAGGCCAGCAGCAGTACTGGGAGGAGGAGGAGGAGTAGAGGTGATAATCCTGATGCTGACGATCGTCACACACACAAGTGCTTGTCGTCCTTAGATAGTGGAAACCTTACTCCAGCTAACTGCTCATCCTCAGGAGTCTTATGAGGTCGCGGAGCTCCTCTCTGAGTACTGCGAGGCTGGGATGTCCCTTCCAGCTAAAGTGAGCTTTGAAGCTGGTGGTTTAGGGTTTAGGGTTTAGGGTAGGGTGCTGCAACCAGCAAAAATGGTGACTTGGCGAAGTTTGACATGGACAAGCGCTTTTTGGTCAGCCTCGGGAGTCCCAAACACCTAAAGTCACCTGCAGCCCCACGATGCCCAAGTCTACTATATTATATTATGATTATGATAATTATATTACTATATTATTATAATAGTATACTACAAAATTATACTTATTATATATTGTATTACTATATTATTGTATTACTATGTAATTATACTAGTATTATATAAAGCAAGCGGCTGAGCAGGCCTTGGCTGAGGCGCCCAAAGGGGACCGCCTGGTCTCCTCGGCGCTCCTGGAACTGCGCCTGGCTCTGCTTTAGGTTCTTTTTTTTGTGTGTGTCAGAGCTCGGTTGAAGCAGTACGTATGTGTATATACACACATATATATATATGTATTTATATATGTATTTATTTATTTATTTACTTATATTTGTTTATATATGTGTAAGTCGAAACACTTGTATATTACTACTAACTACCCTTATATACTGATATGTCATACATACGCATTGTCACGGTCTGGTTCTGGCAACTACTGCGACTGGTTCACTCACGATTGCTTGAGCTATGCTTGATGTCGTGGTGATTGAACTTGCTAGTTTTCTGTTGCGAATCGGCCTTCACAGATTTCATGGCTACCTCCGACATCTGGAATCCTGCTACGCCCCCAAATTTGCCTCAAACCCTAAACCGTTCTTACCGGAGCCCCAACTACAGCCCCAACTACCCTGAAAGCTGGAGGTTCAATTTCGGCTCCATCTCTACGTTTTGGGGCTTCGGGCTCGCCGAACACTTCTGTCAACCCGACGCCTCAAACGCCCGAAATCCTGGAAAGCCCGGACCCTGATGGTTTCTCAAGCCCGGTACCCCCGAACCACAAAACATTCAGCGAGTCTTAGCCAGGAATCTCCTTGTGCCTTCAACTCGGGGTCTATGGGGTATTTAGGGTTGAATAATGGGTCTAGGACGGTGGAAAATAGCTTGGTCTTGGGCTTCATTTGTGTTAGGGTTGCAGCTGGTCTTCGCACATGCATAATGGACTCTTGGTTTGGGTTAGGGTAGGTGGGGTTTGAGGGGGAGCTTAGAGTGTCGAGCAAAAGTTTGGAGATATTGCCGAAAAGTCTTCAGCTTCTGAGCCCTGACGGGCGGCTCCTGCACCGAGTGACCTCAGCAACGCTGTCGCGGCTGGCATTTCCGAATGCAGAATATACAGTTTCTTAAGTATGATGTATATTTCGCAACGTAACTTACATTGCGCAATGCAGAACATGTGAATTTAACTGTGTATTACATAACATCTCATGCAGAGGAAAGAAAATGTACTATATAATCTGTAGTATAAAACAAGATATGTAATATGGAATTCATAACATATTGTGTCTCATACATACTATACCATGTATGATATATTTTATAGACTATAGAGCACCTAATCTACAACATATATATACTGAATATTCAACATACATTTTGATATTCAATATGCACCATACAATGCCTGATGCACAACATGTAACATATAGTTTATAGTATGTGGGAATATACAAAATACTATAAAATCCTGTATATGATATTATGACAAGGCTTATCACGTACAACATAAAATTAAATGTCTAACGTGCAATATCAACAAGTTCATTGCGAGCATGTGCGGCGCACCTTCGCACCTTGCATGTAGCCGTGCCTAGGATGGCCACGATGATGGAGGAGAAGTTTGGTGAGGGGAGCGAAGAGCACATCCAAGCCCTGCAGGCGCATGGGCTTGGAGTTTGCGAGCTAGGGTTCTGGGCCTGAGGCCTGAGAGGCATGAGATAAGGTTATGCCGGTACAGTATGCTTGCTACGTGTCATCATCGGCATCTTCCGAACCTCATTGGAGTCTCTGCGGCATCGCTGCGTACTTGTGCAAGCCTGGGTCAGTTTATTACTCTTGAAGTCCGCGTTCTGTCTTGCAGCATCTTGCAGGTAGGCCGGACTATATTTTTTTCTGCTTGTAGTAGAATCTAGAATGACTAAGTAGCATGACGTGCCATGTCTACGAAGCCTTCAGTCGCCGTCGTGTTTGTAGCTGGCCATCAGGGAGCGCAGCAGTCAGTGACCGTCAGTTGAGGTTTTTGTCATTAGAATCTTTAGAATTAAAGAGGCTGGGCCCGCATCTGAAAGTGGTTTTCGTGAAGCACGACGTGGTTTACATGAAACTATGATATGACAGCATAGATCCGAAAATCAGAATGATTTCACCCTGGTGCCCTACGTGTGTGCTTGTTTGCCTGCGTGCGTCTTGGTGCGATTATGTACGGCACGCTTGACGGCCTACGTGAGAGGATGAATCAGAGGATCCGACGTTGCAATCCGACACCGTGACCTGTGAAGCCACACAAGTGCTACTCTAGAAAGAGGGAGCATTCGGACCATGAAGCTGGGAGCAGGCAATTTTGAACCCACCCTATCTGTCCGAAATGCCCAGCATATTCTGACGGCGCCACCCGGGGCACAGACATCACGTGGGAACACAATTTTCGGGAGGCGGACCACGTAGTTTCGCATGCATTCGTGCTTGACTGCTTTCCAGGAACTGTCAGCAGCCTGCGTCGCTGCGGAGAAGCCTGCGTTAGCTGCTCCGCTCTTCGTGACGCTGTCCAGGCCAGCACCGCAGCTATTGGGGATTTAGCTTCCAGAACCCCTTGAGGCCGAATGATTTTGAAGTTCTTGTCATCCGATCTTGTCACTGGGCAAGTGAAAATGAATTGCATTTAAGACATCAATCTCCGGCGGATGTCTCTTTAGACTGCGATCGTCGTTGCATGGTAGGAAGGGATCTTCTGTAGCTTTTTCTCTTGTTGTGGATCTTCAGCCGGTTCCAAGCGCTCATATTGCTGAACAATGGTTGCTTCGTTTTTATGTCTTTCTCTGCTTCTGTCCTTTTGACTGAAGCTCCGACAAAAACGCGGCTTCAAAAGATAAATAGGAATCACATCTTGTAGTTCGGGAGGAGATTGATCAGGACTGCAACACCTTCGGATCGCTGTTTGTGTTGTTCCTCTTGTTTTTGTTTGCATCGAGGGCTTCTCTTTCCCCGGCAAGATCCGGCTTGTCCAAAGTTTTGGGCTTGCAGCGAGCCACCATGCTGCCGGCTTCATCACTGATTTTGTTTCGAGAGTTGGGAGCTTGAGAAACAAGCATCCCTAGGCCGGACAATGCACGCGCACAAGCCCTGGCGAAGACACCCATAAGTCACTGGAGCAGAGGTTCCAAGTGCGGCATCTTTGAATGACAACCCCTGCATAAAATCCCGCTGCGGCATGGTTCGACACCCTAGAATCACTGTCCCGGAGCCGAGTTCTTGAAACTGCCCTAAACAGGATACCTTAATCTTTATGCTCTACAAACCCCAAAAACTTCTAAAACCCAAAACTGCAGGCTACTTCGCGAGTGCTACGGCGACGAGCCGGATACCTGGGAGATGCAAGAGTTGCAAGCGGCCCGGACTCTGCCCCAGTGTTTCACCCAAATGGTTGGGAGGCCCGAGTCAAGAAGCTAAGTCTGTTCTTTATCGTGTGGGTGCCATGTTAGGGGGTCCATTTTTTTCAGGATCTTATCCTATCCATGACCTCACTTAGTGGAAACTCCCAGACTTTAGCGGATCTGGATGTGAGATTCTGGATCGAAGCAGTTGAAAAACTCTGGCATGTCGTCCTGCATCTTTGCATATCGGACACACGTGCTTGAGTAGTTGTATCTTTCTAGTTTTCTCTGTAAATTTGCATATACCTGTGGTTGCGGGCATAGTGCAAACACAAGCAAGCATAAACTCTCCATCCCCAAACTCAAACTCCAGGACTCCTCATGGGCCCTACCCCAAGTCCCTAACCCCCGAACCGTGAAGCCCTCAAAAACCTCCAAACCTAGCAGGCAGCGCACCCAACGTCCAAGCGCCAGAGCCCAGGCGGTGGAGGAAAAGGCGGCTCAGTGTCTCGAGAGTGGAGCCGCCGGCCATATGAGCGAAGGCGATCTCGAGGTGGCGGGCACGGATTAATTAGGGGGAAAAAAAATTTCGGGGTTTCGAATTCAGGGTTTGGGGCACTTTGCGTTCTCGGGTTACTTAAGGTGTCGGCGATTTCGAGGCAGGGTTTAGGGCTTGGGGCACTGTCAAGGCAGGATTTTGGGGGATCGTAGGGGTAGGGTAGTACCGGGACTGTAATACCACCGGGAGTCTAATGTCCGTCCCCTGGTGGACATCTGGGGCCAGAGGCTTCTCCAGTTCATTCAGTGAACAAGGCATCTAGGCATTCAGGGCGGAAGGGAGATTTCGTAATGTGGGTTACAGTACAACCTTGTAGCCTGGCTGTAGGCTGCCGTGGCATTGTGGTCTCTCGCGCTCCGAATGCGAGAAGGCCTGGATGCCGAGGACCACTGGAAGAGTAAAGCCAAAGACGCATTGAAGATGTTTGTCAGTGTTTCGCCCATGCATGTGGGACCGACTTCGTGCAGCCTTTAGTTGTCGCAAGTTAAGTCTTCAGTTAAGTTGAGCAGTCACTCTCCACCCTAACAACAGACTGTGGTGGTTTCAGCAGTGTTTGGTGTCTCATCCCTGTTGAGACAAAAAAATCTTACCAGGAGGAGGTACTGACGGAGATGCGCCATTCGCTGGATGCCTTGAAGCAGGCGGCTGCTGCGGCAGCCGCAAGCGAAGCTGGAGGCACCCCAGTGTGCGGCAATGAGTGTTTGCGCAGGACGGAGAGAAGAGAGCGGAAGATGGAGAGGTAGGTAAGTTGTTGCCTGGCGTTGTCGTGTTTTCGCCCAACCATAAACCCTAAATCGATTGAACTAGGATCTATGTCTGGGTGTTGTTGCTACTGAAGGCTGTTCGCACGTTCCCGAATAGCGCCGTGATTTAGTGTGGACTGTCGCCAGAACACGTGCCTGCCCCGTGTGAGCGTGCGAGTCGACATCGATTGAAATCAACGTTCCGCTTTGCCGTGCCACTGTCCTTTCCAGCCAGACCTGGCAACGCTAGGCGAGAGGCAAAAAGTCGATTGGAGCCCCTCAAAGCCAAGAATCGAAGCCAAGAGTTGGCTGGACGACCGGAGGTCCAGGGAGCACTGTGGCGCCCGAGGACGCCCAACAAACTGAAGCCTCCGACCCGCTGGAGACCTCAAAGGACTGGCCTGTGGATGAAGGCGCTTAAGGATTCATAAACGGAGACGGGGTTTAGGCAAAGCTGTTTCGGGTCTGTTAAAAGTGCTAGGGTTGGGAGACAAGGATTTGCAGTCCTTTACGTTTCGAGAGCTTATCCGGAGTTTTATGATATAGGAGTATAGTGGTCATGCCAGATGAGACCATCTCGAACATCGCTTTCACAGAACCCGGCCCAGGCGTTGATGTGAGCCAATGGAACGTGCTGCTGCACTGTTGACACTATTGCTGCGCTAGTCAATCCAGGCTGTTCCTACACAAATATAGACATATGTATACACATAATAAGTATGGGACTAGTTGGTTATAATTTAATCAGAAATAGTTATAAATGAATATGTACATATGTATATACTGATATTTTATCATATTGTAATACTATATTATTTCTTCGAGGAGGAAGAAGAAGACGCTCGACCTGATTCCTGGGATGAGACAGATGAGCCGAGTGCATCTTCCTCCATCAAGGACGTCCGAGCTTGCAGCTTTTGCTCCTACAATGCTGGTAGCTCTAGTATGCGGTCTAGACGCTCTTAGCTGAGTTGGTTCTCGTTGCGGCATCTATACAGGAGCCTCTGCGATCCAAGCCGTCCCTGATGGGCGGCCCAAGTACTTTGCGGCCTGCCTGGGCGCAGCAACGCGCCCCGCTGGCTCCAGTGCCGAAAGCCGTGGATGCTTGGGATTAGCCCCAACAGCAGCGGAAAAAGTGAAGCAAGCATGCCTCCTGGCTTCGCTGCGACACACCTCTCAATCTCTGTCTCTCTCTTCCTTCCCGTCACTCTGTCTGTCTCCCTCTCTTCCCCCTCCCCGAAAAATTTCCCCTCCCCTCTCCTTTTAGATTCATGATTGTACATATTGGTACACACATGTATAAACAAACTTACATGATTAAATGAATACACATCTACTGTGTGTACATATATACACACATACACACGCGCATATTGTACATATGCATACATGTATATCTATACATTGTGTGTACACGTTTGTATACACCTTTTTATATACAGATAGCTAGCTAGATATGTAGATAGATAGACAGGCATACAAGCATACGTGCATACATACATTTATATTGATCTGGATGCTGGGTTTTTTCGTAGCACAGGCCGCCTGTTCTTGCAAGCAATGCTTGCCTAACTGCGACCGGCGATTTATGCAATGTGTGCATGAATGCATTTATGTGTGTATGTATGTACGCATGTATGTATATATTGACATACATATGCTAGCATATACCCGCCGCATGGTTTTTTGTCGGTGATTTTTTGGTGAAGTTGTGTTTTCGCTACAGTTTTAAGCAGATTTTAAGGTTGTTTGGGGTAGGAAAAAAGGTGCTACGTTTTATGTGAATCCTCGAAAACGTGTGGTTTCAGCACGATTTCGGG